TGTGTGTGTGCGCGCGCGCGTGTGTTTTAAAAACGAATCTATCTTCAGCGCGCAAGACTTACGTTTCTTCGGCTTGCCAGCTCCGCACTGCCCGCACGCCTTGGCACACTGCTGGTTCATGTAGAACGGGTTCCGGTCACACTCGCCCTGGTTGGCCCAGATGTAGCAGGTCCAGCTGTCGTAGATGTTCCGGCAGGCTGCTCAGCGGACGGACGGGCGGAGAACGAAGGGCAAAACAATAAAAAAAAACAACAACAAACAAACAAATTAATAAACATACAAATCAAATTTTAAAAAACCAAACAAAACACATTAAAAACAAACAAGACAAATTAAAAAAACAAATAAAAAAACAAACAAACCCCAAAACAAAACAAAATAAGGGAGAAAAAAACGGTCAGGGTGGTTGGTTGGTTTTAGGGTGGGTGCTCTGGTGTGGTTTGCTCGATCCTTCTTTCCTGCTAAATATAAATACCTCTTGTTCTTATCTTTCCTCTTTCTTTTCTTTTCTTTTTTTTTCTGTTGGTATGTTACATTCTAACTTTTCGGAACCTAAATGACATAATATCTGTGCTGAAAATGCCGTAAAACAATTACTAAAACTAAAGAAGAAACTATCAAAATCAGGACGATAACTTTTCACTATTGAAAAAGGCGTTTGTCAAAAAGAAAAGAATGAAAAAAAGAAAGAAAAAAAGAAGAATGCTCACGGAAAACAGTCTACAGTATAGATCTAGTTAATTTGTAGCGGGTAACCTTAAGAGTTATTTATTCATTTATTTATTTTGGGTAAGTGTTTTACGGCGCTCACAACCGCCTAAGGTCATATGACCGCGAGGGACACATTAAACATTTTCAATTTAGAAGGAAATTTTGAATGTTGGGACCACCGAGGCAACTTGTACACGGCACCTCCGAGATTGTTAGCCCTTGTCCGAGAAGCTAGGTGTAAATCTCTCCGACCATAAGATCAGGGGTTGTTGCTGAAAGATAGAAGTAAGGAGCCAAGGAGTATAGAAAGAGTCAGGAGCCCAGAGGAGGGGGCAAAGGGGGCGGTG